TGCAATTTCTTTAACCATAAAGAATAACTAAATCCTTCAGGACAATGTCACATCAATGCACTGAACTCACTATGTTATCAACCTAACAGCCTCCACATGTTCTCACTGTAATTTCCCCTCATGAATGAATTAATGCTGCACTAATTTGAATGTTTGGGGGAAAATCAAACGCATTTCACTTGCAGTACTCGAGCTGACTTACCTTTGTTTGAATGACCCCTTGTACGCGCTGACTCCACAGACAAGGTACGAAAATATGTCAGGCTATGTCAATAGTGGTTGGTCATCAGGGTTTCTACTCCACGGCCGTATTTCGTATGGCTCCACATTTCCAATGCACGCTATTTTCTGCAAGTACCGCTGCTTCGCCTCTGGACGCAATTGGTGTCTATACCGTCCGTTTTCTTTTCAGCTGCTTTTAAGCATCTTGTAGTCGTCGTTCCAACACAGTGTGTTTGTTTTGATTCGTAGACCCCAAAACTGGTGCTGCGTTCCCACAATGCATTGCGGCGTGACGTCAACTCAAAAGCCCTATTGTGTGACAGTTTTATGGCAAAGGAGGGTGGGACTGACAAAATGTACTGGGGACTTCCCCCTTCAAGCGTGAAACTTGGTTTTTGATACTTTTGCTCCCTTACAAGAATAAACACAATTCTTGACTGTTGCTCACTTTCTTCATTTTTATTGTGACAAAAACTCACTTGAGCAAATGATTACAATTATTAACCAGAAGACTGGTTTGGGGTCCATATGTCCCAATATAGGATATAAAGCAATATTAATAAACAACAGAGCTATACAATGAACCAATAGAACAGGAGCATACTGAACTTTAACCCTCATGAAATGTAAAATCAGTTTTCCTGATACAATTAATAGAATAATGTAATAAACTGAACAAACAATGCTGAGAGTTCTTTACTGCTCTGGAAAAAAAATGATTTGAATATGCATCATCTTTTCACTCAGGTGTTCAGCGATGACTCACAGCTGTCCCACATTTTCTAAGTATATACGTTTTACACCGTATGAATTCTCATGTGCTTCTTTAATTGTAGCTTATCGACAAACCTTTTCCCACAGATGCTACAAGGATACGGTTTCTCACCTGTGTGAATTCTTATATGACAGTCCAAACGTGACTTCTGAATAAATCCTTTGCCACAGGTGCTACAACAATATGGCTTCTCACCTGTGTGAATTCTCCTGTGTGTTTTGAATCCTGATGAGTCAGCAAATCTTTTCCCACAGGTGCTACAACAATATGGCTTCTCACCTGTGTGAATTCTCCTGTGTGTTTTGAGTCCTGATGAGTCAGCAAATCTTTTCCCACAGGTGCTACAACAATATGGCTTCTCACCTGTGTGAATTCTTACATGAGAGTCCAAATGTGACTTCTGAATAAATTCTTTCCCACACATGCTACAACAATATGGCTTCTCACCCGTGTGAACTCTCGTGTGTGTTTTCAACGTTGATGAGGTAGCAAATCTTTTCCCACAGGTGCTACAACAATATGGTTTCTCACCTGTGTGAACTCTCCTGTGTGTTTTGAATGCTGATGAGTCAGAAAATCTTTTCCCACAGGTGCTACAAGAATAAGGTTTCTCACCTGTGTGAATTCTCCTGTGTTTTTTTAACGCTGATGAGTCAGAAAATCTTTTC